GAGGAATGTGAGGAGATCTAGAGTCTGTCCCATCCGCACACCTCGGCCCAATTTTGTCAGTGGAGAGTGCACACAAGCACGGCACATAACAGCTCTTTCCCCAACAGCTTGTCCCCTGCTCTAATTGTTGCCGAGCCATTACCTTTTTGAAGGCATTGCATGTAATATTTGAGCCCTGGCTGGCACACCTTTGAGCACCTCAAATATTTCATTATCATGTTGGTGCATAGTTTACATTTCCAATCTAATACTGCAGAAGTAACAACGGTAACACCCAAATGTCCTGCACTGGGTGCGAAACTTCCATGGCTCGGCTTCTAACGGGGACACAACTCAACTTCCCTCCTGAAATTTCGCCCCTCGATTTCTTCGGTTTCCAGCACACCTGTCTATTTTGCACCAGTGGGTCTCGTTTGACATGAGGTAATTATCTAGGTCCGTCGTCGCAATCGAGACGGCAGTGACTAATTGCGGCGACCAAATGCTCGTGGCGATAGCGTATAGCGGCAATACCCAATTGCATCGATATCCATACCGCACCACCCCTTGCGCATCGTACCAGAGGCTGGTCCAATCCGATGGCGGATATTTCTCGTCAGCCTGACTCCGCAGCTCAGCCGTTGGATCCCGTCCTCGTGGAGGGAGCGCTTTTTTTCCGGCCAGAGGAGGGGGGGGAGGCGGAGATTGCGCAAGGCGCAAAAGCTGCTGCGGAAAACCTGCAGCAAAAGCAGGAGCAGCAAGGCGCGCAAAATTACCGTTTAAACGGGCGTGACGTGGCGCACAGGGACGGTGCATGGTCCTTTCGTTTGAACCACAGCAACGCGGGTAGAACAAGCGAGGCGGGTGAAGCGGGAAGCACGGGAGCGGATTTAGGCGTGCAATTGCGATCAATCAACGTGAGAACGACCCGGAACAGAAACACCCCCCGTACTAGCTGGGAGCGGCAGGATGGCTCTACCCTCGACTCGTCGTCTTCCCCTGACAGCGCGTCCCCGTTTGGAACTGCTTCGGTTACAGCAACGGAGGCTGGAGACTCCCTAGCGGTGTACCAACGAGCGGTGGCTAAGCTAGTGGCGTTTGGGTTCAACGGGAAGGAGATTAACGACCATGCTCGCCGCCTCATCGCATTGGGTGAGCGCTGCACAACAGCCCCTCGGTTATCATTGCATCCTCTCACTCATTAACTCTCTCCCTTTCATTCACTCTGTCACTCCCTCGCACGCCCGCCTCTCACCACCCTCTCTTCCAGGTGCGGGCAGCATCGTTCTCGTCTCCAACAACTTCTCCAACCTCCGCCAGCTCCCACATAGCTATGCGCTCTCACTCTCTCACTCACACACTCACTCCCTCTAACCCTCTCACCCTCTCCCCCTTCCAGGTGCGGGCGGTGTTGTCCTCTTCGCCCGCAACTTCTCCGATCCCCGCCAGCTGGCCTCTTTCTGCGCCGACCTCAAGCGGGCGGCGTTCCCTCGGCGTCTTCTCATCATGGTGGATCAGGAGGGCGGCAGAGTCACGCGCCTCGGCCCGCCCTTCACCTGCATCCCCGCCGCCCGCACCATCGGCTTTTCCCGAAACCCTAATCTCGCTCGGGCGGCTGGCCGTGTCTTGGGGCGGGAGTTAAGATCGGTTCATATAGATACAGACTTAGCTCCTGTACTAGATGTAGATACTAACCCTGACAATCCAGTTATAGGGGCTCGGTCGTTTAGTCGGGACCCGGGTGTTGTCTCTCAGATGGGGTACGAGCTTATAAGGGGTATGCAAGGGGAGGGGGTGGCAGCGTGTGTGAAGCATTACCCAGGGCATGGGGATACATCGATCGATAGCCACCTGGCGCTTCCCTATTCGTCGCACGATCTCAGCCGGCTTGAATCTGTGGAGCTGGTGCCGTTTGCGCGGGCGGCAGTGGATGCTGACGTGGCAGCAGTGATGGTCGCCCACGTGGCAGTGCCTGCACTTGTCACGTGGCAGCCTCCCCCTTCCATGGAGTACCTCCCAGAGAGTGTGAAACGTGTCATCAGTCCACGGTGGGATCTGTTTTCCCCTTACAGGAGGCGGAAGCAGTGGGACGAGGCGAGGAGAGAAGCAGAAGCAACCTTGGGATTGCCGCGATCGCTCTCTGAGTCTGACCTGAGGGGTTCTGGCAGTGCTGGTGATAAGAGTAGCCATGACAGCAGTAGAAATAGCAGTAACAGTTGTGTTACCACTGGAGCTGACACAGTCAAATCCCCATCAACCACACAACAGCCACACCAGCAGCAGCCTATTCCTCCCACCAACCACCCCGCCCCATCCCCCAACCCCTCCCCACTGGCTGCCTTCGGCTCTTCTCTCCCTGCCACTCTCTCCCCCGGTGCCCTCTCCTACCTTCGTATGGAGATTGGTTTCGAAGGCGCCGTGTTATCAGATTGCCTGGAGATGGGGGCGATAGTGAAGCATGTGGGTGTGGGAGAGGCAGCAGTGCTGGCTGTAGCAGCAGGGGTGGATATGGTGTTGGTCTGCCACACGGAGACCAGACAGGCAGAAGCTGTTAATGCGCTGGCGCACGCGCTACAGTCCGGGCGGCTCTCAGTGAAAAGATTCCGGGCAGCTTCCCGGGCAGTTGATGCGCTGGCGCGAGTGTTTTGGCGGCCGCCCCCGCCCGAGGGGAGTGAGGTGGAGGAGAGGTATTGGGAGGAGGAACAGCAGGTGGTAGGGTGTAGGGAGCATAGGGAGGTTGTAGCAGAGATAGAACATGAGGCGTTGGCGCGGGGAGAGGGGGATGATTGGAAGGAGAAGGAGAGGAGGGAGGGTGGTCGGCGGTGTACTATATCGTAACGGTTTGTACTGCATGCTAAGGTAGAGATTACAGGGAGGTTGTTGGAATTTTGTTCATTATAGTGCTGATGTGTGCTAGGTAGCACTAGCAATGTGCTCATGGTGATGGTGGTGGTACCAGTAGTGGTGTTGCTGGCAATTTTGAAAGCAGCATTAAAGAAACACATGCTTACTAAAATGAAAGATGAACAAAGCACCAGACAACTAGGGAAGAAACAAATCAGAGTTATGGTCTTGTAGGCACTCCGATCTGTCTCTGTGTGAAGAAGTGTGGAGCAGCGTCCAGTAGCCACTCTCTTTCAACCGCAGTCACGTCTCGCATGTACAAAAACGAGTCAGCTTGTGATGCAGTGCGGTACACCACCCACTGCGGCGCCACTCTGTAAGGCAGGTGCAGGGTTCAGGTAACGTTCATGGATGCAGGGGGAGGGGGAGGGGGCAATAGAATGGCACTTGTGATGCAGTGCGATACACCACCCACTGCGGCGCCACTCTGTAAGGCAGGTGCAGGGTTCAGGTAACGTTCATGGATGCAGGGGAAGGGGGAGGGGGCAATAGAATGGCACTTGTGATGCAGTGCGGTACACCACCCACTGCGGCGCCACTCTGCGAAACAGGTGGATAATCCAATACACATGAGGGGGTAGGGAAGGGGGGAAAGGGGGGGGGAGACCACTGCACGGGAAGGTGAGATGGCTGCTGCTGTTAGTACAGTACTTTAATAGTATGGATAGGAGGGAGGGGGAATGAAATTTGTCGGAGTGGTGAGGTGTGGGGTGAGTAAGGGGGTTTGTCATACCTGAAAAGGACGGACGAAGGGTGAATCTTAAGATGCAGATTGCCCCTCACGGACTTGTATGTTGATCCGTCACCATCAGGCTGGTATGGAAGGGAGGGGGTATGGTAGAGGAGGGGTGAATCCTAAGGTTCAGATAGCCCCTCACGGACTTGTATGTTGATCCGTCACCATCAGGCTGGTATGGAAGGGAGGGGGTATGGTAGAGGAGGGGTGAATCCTAAGGTTCAGATAGCCCCTCACGGACTTGTATGTTGATCCGTCACCATCAGGCTGGTATGGAAGGGAGGGGGTATGGTAGAGGAGGGGTGAATCCTAAGGTTCAGATAGCCCCTCACGGACTTGTATGTTGATCCGTCACCATCAGGCTGGTATGGAAGGGAGGGGGTATGGTAGAGGAGGGGTGAATCCTAAGGTTCAGATAGCCCCTCACGGACTTGTATGTTGATCCGTCACCATCAGGCTGAGAGGGGAGGGCGGGATGGGAAGCGGAATGGAACGTGCATAGACTCATGCACAACCATGTGCGTAGACTTAGACAAATCATGCACGGACTCATGACAAGCATGTGTGGGCACTCTTGGATTCATGAGTGAATCCAAGAGTGCTCACACATGCTAGTCATGAGTTCCGCTCATACTCTGCACCGCCCGCTCATACGCTGCACCGCCCGCTCATACGCTGCACCACCCACTCATACGCTGCACCGCACGCTCATACGCTGCACCGCCCGCTAATACGCTGCACCGCACGCTCATACGCAGCACCGCACGCGCATACGCTGCACCGCACGCTCATACGCTGCACCGCACGCTCATACGCTGCACTGCCCGCTCATACGCTGCACCGCCCGCTCATACGCTGCACCGCCCGCTCATACGCTGCACCGCCCGCTCATACGCTGCACTGCCCGCTCATACGCTGCACCGCCCGCTCATACGCTGCACCGCACGCTCATACGCTGCACCGCACGCTCATACGCTGCACCGCCCGCTCATACGCTGCACCGCCCGCTCATACGCTGCACCGCCCACTCATACGCTGCAGATCACGCATATCACGAAGAATTTTCCAGATCTGCGATTTTCACACTTGTTTTCTCACTGTTGATCCTTTGCTTAAAGGACACATCCAGAATTACCGTGTCGGCCCCAAAACTGTCACCACTTTCACGTGATTGGTCGAAGGTTTTGAGTGGGTTTTTGACGGGATTGGTTATCGATTTTTCCACCGAACCTCCTTCTGGGGTTTTCCGAACCTACAATTTTTTCGTTGACTTCGTTGTGTAATTCGGGTTGTGGCCTTTAAGTGTCTTTTCTACTACTGCAGCCCTTCGAATATGAGTCAAGGTCATACACTGCAGATCTTACCATGAGCTGAGCCGCATTCACGAAGAGAGAGGCCGCCGCTGCCCGTTGGAGCAGCTGGTGGAGAGGAGTAGGGGTTGGCAGAGGGGAGAGTGGAACAAAATATTGGTGGGTGACGAGAAGTGATAAAAGATGGCACTGCTGCCTGCTGGAGCAGCTGGTGGAATCAGGGGTGGTGCGGGGTTGGAGGGGGTGTGGTGGGGTTGTGGGTGGGTGTGGGTGGGAAGGCAAGCAACGGAAATGGGGAAGAGGAGGGACAGGTAGGGGGACTGGGAACGTGGGGTGGGGGATAAGGGGACGGAAATTATAAGGTGAGAGTGTGGGACAGGAGAAAGAGTGGCATGTCGTTAAGTGCTGACGTCATGAGTATACCCACCATGACGTCATGAGCATACCCACCATGACGTCATGAGCATACCCACCATGACGTCATGAGCATACCCACCATGACGTCACCTCTGCATGACAGCAGCTTCAGCCCCAGGCGCCTTAGCCCTTTCCGCAGCTGCCCCCTCACATCGTCCACTCGCAGCTGAGATGTGGGGGCGGGGAGGGGTAGGGAGGAGTGAGGATGGGCGAGAAGGGGTGGGGAGGGGTGAGGAGGCAGATTTGAAAAGCGCCTGAGGCCCCTCCTCAGCCGCCCCCTCACATCGTCCACTCGCAGCTGAGATGGGGGGATGGGGAGGGATGAGAAGGGGTAAGGAGAGGTGAAGGAGGGGTGAGGGCCAAAGAGGAATAGACGAGGGAAGATGTCTGCAGTCGGTTGGCTGTAAACTGCACTGGGAAGTTTTGAGATTTGTACGAATTACAATGCAGAAACATGGCACAGAGCACAGAGCATAGCAAGTAGAGCACAGCACAGAAACCACGGTTGCCAGTGCACCAATACCATGCGACTTCGAGTCGACTTGGAACCAAACCACCATGAGACCATGCGACCTTACCACTTCTCACCCCTCCCCATGGTAGTCAGTCAGTGTACCATGGCCTGGTAGTTGATGCCGTTGGCGTGGCACCACTTGGGCGACCGGCCACTGCGAGTGAAGCCCTCATACACGTTCAGGTAGGAGACAAAGTCGCCCTGGTGGGAGAAAAGGGAGGAAGTTAGGCGTGAACAATGGAGGGATGGGAGAGGGGTTGTCTTGTCGCGAGGTGAATTGTGTTACTTTCTGTGAAGCCCTCATACACGTTCAGGTAGGAGACAAAGTCGCCCTGGTGGGAAGACAGAGGGAACACAGAGAATAGAGAGGGAACACAGAGAATACAGAGGGAACACAGAGAATAGAGAGAATAGAGAGGTGGAGGGAGTGCAGAAGAAGGGGGCAGGGGGTGTGGCGAGTTCACTTGGGCGACCGGCCACTGCGAGTGAAGCCCTCATACACGTTCAGATAGGAGACAAAGTCGCCCTGGTGGGAGAGACAAGGGAGAAGAGAGAGAGCATCGAACGCACAGAACACAGAGGAAGGGGTTGGCGTTGCAGAACACAGAGGAAGGGGTTGGCGTTGCAAAACACAGAGGAAGGGGTTGGCGTTGCAGTGAGGAAGGGGTTGGCGTTGCAGTGAGGAAGGGGTTGGCGTTGCAGTGAGGAAGGGGTTGGCGTTGCAGTGAGGAAGGGGTTGGCGTTGCAGTGAGGAAGGGGTTGGCGTTGCAGTGAGGAAGGGGTTGGCGTTGCAGTGAGGAAGGGGTTGGCGTTGCAGTGAGGAAGGGGTTGGCGTTGCAGTGAGAAGGGGTTGGCGTTGCAGTGAGGAAGGGGTTGGCGTTGCAGTGAGGAAGGGGTTGGCGTTGCAGTGAGGAAGGGGTTGGCGTTGCAGTGAGGAAGGGGTTGGCGTTGCAGTGAGGAAGGGGTTGGCGTTGCAGTGAGGAAGGGGTTGGCGTTGCAGTGAGGAAGGGGTTGGCGTTGCAGTGAGGAAGGGGTTGGCGTTGCAGTGAGGAAGGGGTTGGCGTTGCAGTGAGGAAGGGGTTGGCGTTGCAGTGAGGTCAACTGAGTTATGTGTCTGGCCGGCCTCACTACACCGCGATGAATGGATAAAACCTCCATGCATGTTCAGGCAGGACATGAACTTGCGCTAGTGAAGGGGGAAGAAATAAGCTGGTATGCGGTGGAGTGGAGAGGCGCGGCGAGTGTATACCACCGTCTGGTATACCAGAGCACCATGCCTTGCTGTTTCCCCAACCTCTCTGCCACCGTCGGACAAGCCAAAAACAAAAAGAAAGTCTGGCACCGTGTTGTGAGCACTTCCCAAGCACACCTGTACCATGCCATACTCCCTCCCTACATGCTCCCTTAAAAAGCTACTCACCTCTGCAGCAGCGAATCGCTCTTTGAGTCTGTCTGACTCCCTCTGCCTGCCGCTGCTGCCCACCCACACTGACTGGGGGAAGGGGGGATGCAGGATCGGGGGAAGGGGGGATGCAGGATCGGGGGAAGGGGGGATGCAGGATCGGGGGAAGGGGGAGAAAGTGGGGCAGATAGGTGAGGAATGCAGTGAGTCGACTCAAAAGACGACTTAAATACAGCCTGGTGGAGGGATAAAAGCAGCAGTGGAGAGGCAGGAGTATGACAGGAGGAGGACGTGGGAGAAATACATGAGGAGGATGGAGGTCAACAGGATTCAGCTTAAACCTGCATGCCTTCCATACCCTCACACTCATGCCACACCTCCCAACCGCTCCAACCTCCCGTCTGCAAGCCAACACTCTCCTCCTCTCACCTGCACACACAGTGACGCAGCAACTGTACACATCTCCTCGGAACAACCATCAGCGTCCTCCCCATCTCTGTCTTCCTCCTCCTCATCATCCTCCTCCTTCCCCCCACCCACGCCACCTCCACCCCCTCCACTCTTCATCGCAGTACCAGTAGCACCATCAGCGGTGGTGCCAGGTGCATTGGCCGATACAAGCAGCATGAAGGCAATCAGAGGGTCCTGAGAGAACGGAGAGAGGCGGGGGACGGGAATAAGCAGGCTCAACAGGTAAGGTGAATATTGATTGATGGTTCTGGGGAGAGGAAGGAAGCTGGGGGTTACAAGCATGACAGTACTTGCACATAATTACTAGTATGTGGTTACTACCAGCATGAAGTTACCAGCATGTGGTTACCACGTGCATCTTACCAGAGGAAACTCTGCCAGCTGGACTCCAACAGGCTTGGTCAGTCTGCCGTCCATATCCAGCGCCCGGACGGCAAAGAGCGTCTCTAGTGCGCGGATCATGGCGGACGGCGCGGGCGGCGAGAGCCAATCGAATCGCATGATGTTGTCGATGCCGAGCGACTTGAGCTGCAGCACTGTTGCTGTGAGATCTGATCGCTGGATCTCCGGGATTGTGTGGGCGGCAAGATCTGTCAAGTAGCTGTGCTCTGTGTACAGTCTGTTGGAGAGAAGAGGGGCGAAGAGGACGGGAGAGCAGAGGAGAGAAGAGGTGAGGAGAAACGGGGAGAGAAGGAAGCAAGCCACATTAGAAATCCAACACGTTGCTATTATTGACAGAGGTTTGGGGGCAGCAATGCCCCTAAAACTGTTTTAATTCCATTCTGAGTGTACTAAGACTAGCGAGTGCGAGTAACTTCACCTGTAGCATTTCCCCGGCCTCACTCGCCCTGCCCTGCCTGCCCTCTGCTGTGCTGATGCTCGTGACACGGGCACTAGCAGTAGCGCATCCACGTTTGATACCTGGGGAAATGGGGATGGGGGATGGGGACACAGAACGGTACAGAGGTTGGTTGGGGAGGGCGGGTTGATGCCCTGCCTGCTCTCTGTTGTGCTGTTGCTTGTGACACGGGCCGCAGCAACGTATCCACGTTTGACACTTGGAGGGATGGGGGCAGGAGGCGCATCACAGCACGGCATGGCACAGCACAGGGGAGAGGAGAGGAAGAAGATGCCCTGAGATTTGCTGTGAACACAAAGGTCAACGGCCAAACAGAGCTGGAACACAAAGGTCAACGGCCAAACAGAGCTGGAACACGAAGGTCAACGGCCAAACAGAGCTGGAACACAGAGGGACGCGGCATAAGAGGAAGGGTGGAAGATTGGACGGGAGGAGCACTTACAGGGTCGAAGAACCGTTGCTTGACAAAGCCACAGTCAACCACGTACACTATGCCCTGACGGGGAGAGGAGGAGAAAGAGAGGGCAGTGGGATGTAGTTGCTTCCTCAACCGCATTTTACAATAAGAGGAGAAAAGTTTAACTCATATAAAGAAGCAACATCAGGACAATTTTTTTAGTCCAATCGAAGATCAACAAAATAACAGATAAAAGGTCGCCTCTTCTCCTGCATTTTTCTAGGCACCTCAAACACTAAGACCACGCACCTCAATGGTGAGAGACGTCTCTGCGATGTTGGTCGCCACCAGCACCTTCCTCCATCCCCGTGCCAAGGCAGCAAACTTCTGAGGCGCCTCAAGCACTAAGCTCACGCACGCACCTCGATGGTGAGAGACGTCTCGGCAATGTTGGTCGCCACCAGCACCTTCCTCCTCCCCCGCAGGGTGGGCGCAAATGCTGCCTCCTGTGGTGGTGGTGGTGGTGGTGGTGGTGGTGGTGGTGGTGGTGGTGGTGGTGGTGGTGGTGGTGGTGGTGGTGGTGGTGGTGGTGGTGGTGGTGGTGGTGGTGGTGGTGGTGGTGGTGGTGGTGGTGGTGGTGGTGGTGGTGGTGGTGGTGGTGGTGGTGGTGGTGGTGGAGGAGGGAACGAATAAGAGAGGGGGGGTTTGAGAGGGGCCACGAGGCAAACGCATGTGCTTCACTTTCGCACACCTGTGTGCATGCCTGCACACGAACGCGCGTGCCTATGTGTGGAGGGGCATGTGCGTTCGTGTGCATGCATGTACTTTTAGAATCAACCCATTCCCCGGGTGACATTCGTTCACTCACTCACAAGGGTCAACGAATATAGACGGGAGAAAGGGAGCGAGTAGAACTCACGATGGCACCAGCCGGCAGACCAGCTTTGAAACAGAGGCGTCGTGTCGCCAGTGAATCGATTTTAGCTCGCTATACTACGAGTGCCACCATACATACCCAAGTTAAGGAGCGGGACTTACAACATCACCGGCTGGTAGACCAGCATAGAGAGGAAACGCCTGGAGGCCTGAAGGGCGAAGAGTAGGGATGAGAGACGAAATGAGGAATAGTTAGAATGGGAAGGACAGAAACGCAAGTGAGTGACAGGACACAGGCGTGCCGCGTGCTCTGCATAGTGCTATGAAAGAGAAAACTGCAACTAAACACGTTTAATGCATCGCATCGCCTCCTAAAGAGGCGTCCGCACTAGCACATTGAATTTTGACTTAGCAAGAAGACGGACAGGGATGCATACCTCTTAGTTTCTCGGACGAGGGAGTGTAGCTGTTGCTCTGCTCCGCTATAAGCTGCACCAACGTGTCCACCTCCTCCTGTCCCGTTAAGAACACAAGTATGTCTCCTGGAGGCTCCTAAAAGGGCGAGGTGCAGGAGACAAAAGGAACGTTTTATCTTGCATTACAGTCCAATTGCATGTAAGATCAGGAAGATCACTAAGCCATCAATGAAGAAGAGAAATTCAAAGTGGTGCTTCCAGGAATAGCGGCTGCAAGGGCGATGACGCGCTGGGAGGCGGAGGGAGGCAGAGGGAGGAGGAGGGAGGAGGAGCGTTGGCCTCACCTGGCAGTGAATGGCGAGCACGGTGTCAAGTGCTGTCTGCAGGTAGTCCGATGTGGGTTCTTCAAGGTACAGCAGCTGCACCGGGTGACTCCGGCCTTCCACTGAAATGATAGCTGGCTTGCGGCTGGGAAGGGTGTTAAGGCCTTGTGACGACAAGGGCTTGGGCTTCTCGTGGCTGGGGGGGGCGGTGAGACAGGGTCAGGGGGGAACAGGGGAGATGTGTGGTTAAAGCATTACACATAGTCTGACGTGGGTTCCTCCAGGTACAGCAGCTGCACGGGGTGGCTGCGCTGCGCCCCTCCACGGATATGATCGCTGGCTTGCAGCTGGGAAGGGCTTGAAGCTGAGAGCCTTCTGGCTGAAACTTTGGCTTCTCGTTGCTAGGGGGCGGTGAGACAGGTTACTGGGGGAAAGGGGTGACGTGCGGTGAAGGGTGTGAAACAAAAACACGGTCAGCAGTCGGGGGAGTGGAAACGGGAGGGGAGTGAGTGAGAGACCGGGGAATGCAAAGAGGGGGAAAGGAGGAGAGATCGTGAGAGAGGGGAGGTGAAGAATGGAACGAGAAGAAGATCGATTAGCCGAGCGTGGGCGAGGCAACGCACCTGGTGTCAAAGAAGGCTGCCACGTCATCAGCTGCCAGCGTGGCAGATGAGATGACCAATCGGAGGTCAGGACGCCGCCGCATCACCTGGGGCATGGATGGAGAAGCGGGGGACGGACAGGGAGAGGCAAAGGGGGAAGCGCGGGGAGAGGGGGAAGGGAGGGAAAAAGGGAAGAGGGGCAGAGGAAGAGGGTAAAGGGGCAGGGCCGGGGCTAATGCAGTGGAAGCAGAAACGTACAAACGCTGACCGGCTTCGATGACACGCAAGAGCTAGCATAGGTTAGCAAGAAGAGAAACAACAAACATGGGGGTTACACCAACCTCCCACGATCACAACACGAGAACAACACCTTGAGGAGGCCCAGGAGAATGTCCGTTGCCAGGCTGCGCTCATGCGCCTCGTCCACCATGATCACACTGCCATGCATGCAGTACAATAACACACGATGTGTTCAAATGGCTTATAAGTCTACATGAAACAGCTGCGCTCATGCGCCTCATGCACCGCAATATAATGGCACGAAATATATTCACATGACGTACACTCAATCGACACTCTCGCATGTCATACAACTGAGTTATACCCAATCGCATAAGGCATAGGTTGTTATCGAGCAAGAGGGAACCACAATATACAGACAGGCAACAAATCAGACAGAAAAGGAGCAGGTCCCCGCGCGCGTCTTGGTCTGCCGCGCGCACGACGTGAACATGCGTGACCAGGCGTGACCAGGCGTGACCAGGCGTGACCATGCGTGACCAGGCGTGACCAGGCGCGACCAGGCGTGACCAGGCGTGACCATGCGTGACCAGGCGTGACCAGGCGCGACCAGGCGTGACCAGGCGTGACCATGCGTGACCAGGCGTGACCAGGCGCGACCATGCGTGACCGGCCGGGCGTGACCGGGCGTGACCGGGCGTGACCGGCCGGGCGTGACCGGGCGTGACCATGCGTGACCGGCCGGGCGTGACCGGGCGTGACCAGGCGTGACCATGCGTGACCAGGCGTGACCATGCGTGACCGTGCGTGACCAGGCGTGACCAGGCGCGACCATGCGTGACCAGGCGTGACCAGGCGTGACCATGCGTGACCAGGCGTGACCGTGCGTGACCAGGCGTGACCAGGCGTGACCAGGCGTGACCAGGCGTGGCCAGGCGTGACCAGGCGTGACCAGGCGTGACCAGGCGCGACCAGGCGTGACCAGGCGCGACCAGGCGTGACCAGGCGCGACCAGGCGTGACCAGGCGTGACCATGCCTGACCTGTATCTGGAGAGCAGCGGGTCCTCCATCATCTCCCGCAGCAGCACCCCATCTGTGAGAAACTTGATCTGAGTCACTCCCTGTGCAGCCAACGCAAAGTGGAAGGGAAGTGTAAGATGCGACAGGTACATACATGAAGCAGACTGTCGGGCATCACGCGAGTTCTGAGACTCCCAAAAACCCCTGTGCAGTGTAGCCAATGGAATTGGGAAAAATAAAGAATGGACATTCATAATGAAGCCCTCCTCGGACACAACGCGGTGGTGGATTGTATCCAGCCAATGGTGTTGTTCATTGTAGTGGTGGAGCGGAAGGGGGTGGAGGAGTTGCACAATTTACAGGAGAAAGGCCAATACGGAGACAGTGGGGAATCCGGGGGGAATGGCATGGGGCAGGGCACAACAACACATATACGCTGTGACGTGACGTGGAGTGCTGCAGACACGTTAAGTCAAGTCACGGCATGTTATCTACCTGTGTGGTGACATTCTCACAACGGATGCTGTATCCCACTCTCTCCCCCAAAGCCAAGCCCATCTCCTCCCTCACTCCGAGAACTCTAGAACGTGACTTCAATGTGGAGTGCAGACGCACACATAAAGTAAAAACGAGGCCAACCAGTCAGTTACCTGCGTGGTGACGTTCTCAAAGCGGATGCTGTAGCCCACTCTCTCCCCCAAAGCCACCCCCATCTCCTCCGCCACTCTGCTTGCCACCATCTGGCAAAAAAACGGGGAGAAACGGAACGAGGGAGAGGGAAGATCACTATTATGTCGACTCACCATCCCATCCGTCCCTGCAAGGGAGATGGGGGGTACGCGCGAGGGAGGTGATTTAGGGACCGTACAGCCCCTGCAAACAAGCAATTTCACACATGAACTCCCAAACCATGCTTGGGGCACGCCCAAATGAACTGAATACCCTCAATTCCACCTGACCCTCACCTGAGCCGCCACTCTTCTGGGCTGGGTACACGCGACCACTCGCCCTCCTGCCGCCCACCCTGCTTCCACCAGGTACTGCCAGACTCAGCAGTAATGAGAGGAGAGGAGGGTCGGTGGGAGAGTGTTGTGGAGGAGAGGAGGCTTGGGAAGTTGGGAAGGAGGGTCAGACGAACGGAGCAAAATTGTTAGAAGAACAAAGCATTGGAGGAGATGACAGGTGGAGACGGAATGCAATATTCATGAAGGTGGGGATGAGAAGCTTCTGCGTTATGGAATGGAATATAGCAAGGGAACGACAGCACCAGCTCCCACATGCACGTTCACGGTTCACCCCATCCGCTTTCATCACATCAACTCTTACCTTTCATAAGCCTTCACCTCATGTGCTCTCACCTGCGGGATCTGAGTGGCCTTGCCACTGCCTGTCTCCCCAACCACCACTGTGACGGCGTGAGTCTCCACTCCACCAGGTATAGGACCCCCTTCCTTTGCTTGAAATGACTGTTGGCTGACTCAAAACTCATCTGCTTTCACCTCATGTGCTTCACCTCACCTGCGGGATCTGAGTGGTCTTGCCACTGCCTGTCTCCCCAACCACCACTGTGGCGGCGTGAGTCTCCACCAGGTATAGAATCGCCTCCCTGTGGTTGAACACCGGTAGCTTCTCACGCCCACTCTGCACAAAGGGACTGATAGGGCGGATTGGAGAGGGGGAGAGTGTAAAGGGGACGGGATTTGGTAATCCCCATCACCACAGTTAGAACGTGAGTCTTTTCTCCATCAGGTACAAGATCGCCTCCCTGTGCTTGAACACCGGTAGCTTCTCACGCGCACTCTGCACAAACGGGCTGATAGGGAGGAATGGTGGGGAAGAGCAGAAGGCGGGAAGAGAGTGCGGGAAGGGAGACTGGTGAAATCCCATCCACCACACTGGCAGTGACAGCCTCCGGCAGAGAGACGATCCCCTCCTATCAAGGCGCCTAAAGAGAATCAAGAATCAATCAGAGAGACGATCCCCTCCTATCAAGGCGCCTAAAGAGAATCAAGAATCAATCAGAGAGACGATCCCCTCCTATCAAGGCGCCTAAAGAGAATCAAGAATCAATCAGAGAGACGATCCCCTCCTATCAAGGCGCCTAAAGAGAATCAAGAATCAATCAGAGAGACGATCCCCTCCTATCAAGGCGCCTAAAGAGAATCAAGAATCAATCAGAGAGACGATCCCCTCCTATCAAGGCGCCTAAAGAGAATCAAGAATCAATCAGAGAGACGATCCCCTCCTATCAAGGCGCCTAAAGAGAATCAAGAATCAATCAGAGAGACGATCCCCTCCTATCAAGGCGCCTAAAGAGAATCAAGAATCAATCAGAGAGACGATCCCCTCCTATCAAGGCGCCTAAAGAGAATCAAGAATCAATCAGAGAGACGATCCCCTCCTATCAAGGCGCCTAAAGAGAATCAAGAATCAATCAGAGAGACGATCCCCTCCTATCAAGGCGCCTAAAGAGAATCAAGAATCAATCAGAGAGACGATCCCCTCCTATCAAGGCGCCTAAAGAGAATCAAGAATCAATCAGAGAGACGATCCCCTCCTATCAAGGCGCCTAAAGAGAATCAAGAATCAATCAGAGAGACGATCCCCTCCTATCAAGGCGCCTAAAGAGAATCAAGAATCAATCAGAGAGACGATCCCCTCCTATCAAAGAGCCTAAAGAGAATCAAGAATCAATCAGAGAGACGATCCCCTCCTATCAAGGCGCCTAAAGAGAATCAAGAATCAATCAGAGAGACGATCCCCTCCTATCAAGGCGCCTAAAGAGAATCAAGAATCAATCAGAGAGACGATCCCCTCCTATCAAGGCGCCTAAAGAGAATCAAGAATCAATCAGAGAGACGATCCCCTCCTATCAAGGCGCCTAAAGAGAATCAAGAATCAATCAGAGAGACGATCCCCTCCTATCAAGGCGCCTAAAGAGAATCAAGAATCAATCAGAGAGACGATCCCCTCCTATCAAGGCGCCTAAAGAGAATCAAGAATCAATCAGAGAGACGATCCCCTCCTATCAAGGCGCCTAAAGAGAATCAAGAATCAATCAGAGAGACGATCCCCTCCTATCAAGGCGCCTAAAGAGAATCAAGAATCAATCAGAGAGACGATCCCCTCCTATCAAGGCGCCTAAAGAGAATCAAGAATCAATCAGAGAGACGATCCCCTCCTATCAAGGCGCCTAAAGAGAATCAAGAATCAATCAGAGAGACGATCCCCTCCTATCAAGGCGCCTAAAGAGAATCAAGAATCAATCAGAGAGACGATCCCCTCCTATCAAGGCGCCTAAAGAGAATCAAGAATCAATCAGAGAGACGATCCCCTCCTATCAAGGCGCCTAAAGAGAATCAAGAATCAATCAGAGAGACGATCCCCTCCTATCAAGGCGCCTAAAGAGAATCAAGAATCAATCAGAGAGACGATCCCCTCCTATCAAGGCGCCTAAAGAGAATCAAGAATCAATCAGAGAGACGATCCCCTCCTATCAAGGCGCCTAAAGAGAATCAAGAATCAATCAGAGAGACGATCCCCTCCTATCAAAGAGCCTAAAGAGAATCAAGAATCAATCAGAGAGACGATCCCCTCCTATCAAGGCGCCTAAAGAGAATCAAGAATCAATCAGAGAGACGATCCCCTCCTATCAAGGCGCCTAAAGAGAATCAAGAATCAATCAGAGAGACGATCCCCTCCTATCAAGGCGCCTAAAGAGAATCAAGAATCAATCAGAGAGACGATCCCCTCCTATCAAGGCGCCTAAAGAGAATCAAGAATCAATCAGAGAGACGATCCCCTCCTATCAAGGCGCCTAAAGAGAATCAAGAATCAATCAGAGAGACGATCCCCTCCTATCAAGGCGCCTAAAGAGAATCAAGAATCAATCAGAGAGACGATCCCCTCCTATCAAGGCGCCTAAAGAGAATCAAGAATCAATCAGAGAGACGATCCCCTCCTATCAAGGCGCCTAAAGAGAATCAAGAATCAATCAGAGAGACGATCCCCTCCTATCAAGGCGCCTAAAGAGAATCAAGAATCAATCAGAGAGACGATCCCCTCCTATCAAGGCGCCTAAAGAGAATCAAGAATCAATCAGAGAGACGATCCCCTCCTATCAAGGCGCCTAAAGAGAATCAAGAATCAATCAGAGAGACGATCCCCTCCTATCAAGGCGCCTAAAGAGAATCAAGAATCAATCAGAGAGACGATCCCCTCCTATCAAGGCGCCTAAAGAGAATCAAGAATCAATCAGAGAGACGATCCCCTCCTATCAAGGCGCCTAAAGAGAATCAAGAATCAATCAGAGAGACGATCCCCTCCTATCAAGGCGCCTAAAGAGAATCAAGAATCAATCAGAGAGACGATCCCCTCCTATCAAGGCGCCTAAAGAGAATCAAGAATCAATCAGAGAGACGATCCCCTCCTATCAAGGCGCCTAAAGAGAATCAAGAATCAATCAGAGAGACGATCCCCTCCTATCAAGGCGCCTAAAGAGAATCAAGAATCAATCAGAGAGACGATCCCCTCCTATCAAGGCGCCTAAAGAGAATCAAGAATCAATCAGAGAGACGATCCCCTCCTATCAAGGCGCCTAAAGAGAATCAAGAATCAATCAGAGAGACGATCCCCTCCTATCAAGGCGCCTAAAGAGAATCAAGAATCAATCAGAGAGACGATCCCCTCCTATCAAGGCGCCTAAAGAGAATCAAGAATCAATCAGAGAGACGATCCCCTCCTATCAAGGCGCCTAAAGAGAATCAAGAATCAATCAGAGAGACGATCCCCTCCTATCAAGGCGCCTAAAGAGAATCAAGAATCAATCAGAGAGACGATCCCCTCCTATCAAGGCGCCTAAAGAGAATCAAGAATCAATCAGAGAGACGATCCCCTCCTATCAAGGCGCCTAAAGAGAATCAAGAATCAATCAGAGAGACGATCCCCTCCTATCAAGGCGCCTAAAGAGAATCAAGAATCAATCAGAGAGACGATCCCCTCCTATCAAGGCGCCTAAAGAGAATCAAGAATCAATCAGAGAGACGATCCCCTCCTATCAAGGCGCCTAAAGAGAATCAAGAATCAATCAGAGAGACGATCCCCTCCTATCAAGGCGCCTAAAGAGAATCAAGAATCAATCAGAGAGACGATCCCCTCCTATCAAGGCGCCTAAAGAGAATCAAGAATCAATCAGAGAGACGATCCCCTCCTATCAAGGCGCCTAAAGAGAATCAAGAATCAATCAGAGAGACGATCCCCTCCTATCAAGGCGCCTAAAGAGAATCAAGAATCAATCAGAGAGACGATCCCCTCCTATCAAGGCGCCTAAAGAGAATCAAGAATCAATCAGAGAGACGATCCCCTCCTATCAAGGCGCCTAAAGAGAATCAAGAATCAATCAGAGAGACGATCCCCTCCTATCAAGGCGCCTAAAGAGAATCAAGAATCAATCAGAGAGACGATCCCCTCCTATCAAGGCGCCTAAAGAGAATCAAGAATCAATCAGAGAGACGATCCCCTCCTATCAAGGCGCCTAAAGAGAATCAAGAATCAATCAGAGAGACGATCCCCTCCTATCAAGGCGCCTAAAGAGAATCAAGAATCAATCAGAGAGACGATCCCCTCCTATCAAGGCGCCTAAAGAGAATCAAGAATCAATCAGAGAGACGATCCCCTCCTATCAAGGCGCCTAAAGAGAATCAAGAATCAATCAGAGAGACGATCCCCTCCTATCAAGGCGCCTAAAGAGAATCAAGAATCAATCAGAGAGACGATCCCCTCCTATCAAGGCGCCTAAAGAGAATCAAGAATCAATCAGAGAGACGATCCCCTCCTATCAAGGCGCCTAAAGAGAATCAAGAATCAATCAGAGAGACGATCCCCTCCTATCAAGGCGCCTAAAGAGAATCAAGAATCAATCAGAGAGACGATCCCCTCCTATCAAGGCGCCTAAAGAGAATCAAGAATCAATCAGAGAGACGATCCCCTCCTATCAAGGCGCCTAAAGAGAATCAAGAATCAATCAGAGAGACGATCCCCTCCTATCAAGGCGCCTAAAGAGAATCAAGAATCAATCAGAGAGACGATCCCCTCCTATCAAGGCGCCTAAAGAGAATCAAGAATCAATCAGAGAGACGATCCCCTCCTATCAAGGCGCCTAAAGAGAATCAAGAATCAATCAGAGAGACGATCCCCTCCTATCAAGGCGCCTAAAGAGAATCAAGAATCAATCAGAGAGACGATCCCCTCCTATCAAGGCGCCTAAAGAGAATCAAGAATCAATCAGAGAGACGATCCCCTCCTATCAAGGCGCCTAAAGAGAATCAAGAATCAATCAGAGAGACGATCCCCTCCTATCAAGGCGCCTAAAGAGAATCAAGAATCAATCAGAGAGACGATCCCCTCCTATCAAGGCGCCTAAAGAGAATCAAGAATCAATCAGAGAGACGATCCCCTCCTATCAAGGCGCCTAAAGAGAATCAAGAATCAATCAGAGAGACGATCCCCTCCTATCAAGGCGCCTAAAGAGAATCAAGAATCAATCAGAGAGACGATCCCCTCCTATCAAGGCGCCTAAAGAGAATCAAGAATCAATCAGAGAGACGATCCCCTCCTATCAAGGCGCCTAAAGAGAATCAAGAATCAATCAGAGAGACGATCCCCTCCTATCAAGGCGCCTAAAGAGAATCAAGAATCAATCAGAGAGACGATCCC